TTTATTTATTTATTTATTTATTTATTTAAAACCTTACCTAAAACTATCATTACAGTTTTCTCCATTGCGATAGCTTAGGTCTAAAACTAAATCTATGTAGGTACCTAATTACTAATACATATGCATACACAAACTTAATTAATCTTAACATTTATCCATAAAAAAAAGAGATAATACTAAAGACTTTATGGTCACGAGATCAGCGGTGAACTACTTACTAAATAACAATAATAAAAAAAATGAAATGAAATAATAATCTTAATGAATGAATTAATAGTCTTACGAGTTAATATCAAGAGGAATCGCTAAATCTGCCTAATGTACCAAGTTACTTAGGTAGTATGAACTATTTGATGCCAAAACTACTTCGAACCGAAACATTGTATCAAGAACGGTCCGCCCGCTATTGTCATTGTGCCTCGAAGTTCATTAGTCAAGTTTAATTGTACAACGACAACAAACAGATTATATTTGGATCACGGTAGGGAACTGTCACTATCGCCATTCATTGATTCGCTCAATTGCATACCAATACTGCTACTAGCCGATCATTAATCGCTTTTGAATATACGTTTCCATTGCTAATTTTGATGATCATTGACGTTTCTTTAAGAAGTACTTTTTAAAGATGCTAAGTAAAGCCAGCAACGGATGATGTCCAAGAGGATATAACAGTATTGGGTTGTGTAGGGTTAGGGGTATGATGCAAGTGCATCGGGTGCATTGGCCGCGTCTATTTGTGGTAACAGGTGTGCGCCGTATAATCATTACGGCGATGGTCGGCTGTTAGAATCTGCTCTCTATCTCATGCCGTTCGAAATGGAACGCAAACCGATTTCGGTGCGGCGCCCGGCGACGTTCAAAATAACTTTATACATTCCAAGTACTTGTTATGGTAATGTGTGACAGCGAAACTGTTGTTCACAACTTTAAGTTTAACTGTAGGGGAGAGGTTTTTAGAGTGCTCGGACTTTAACTGTGTTTAACAATATTTACTGATTTATTTTTAGATGCTCACGATTTAGAGTATGTTCGCTCTATTGCTGCGCTGTGTCGTTCAACTATGTTGTATTCGCGAATGTTTAGTTTTGCGTTTTAGGTGTAATAATTAGGATTTTTGTCGTAAGTAAC